GGTGCTGTCTCTGTAAAATGTATGTGCGGGCATGCCGGCCCGTGTAACCTGTCTTTTTGGAAGTGGTGTTCCTCATACTCTGAATTGGCGGTAAAGATGTTTCTTCCGCTGTTCATGTGAACCGTGTTATTGTGCTACTTCCTCACCGATTTCGACATAATGTAATAAATCCCAGCGGTCGCGTTTTGAGGAGGAGTTTGAAGATTTGCTGACAGAATACGGGGAAGAAGATATCGGGGGCCTGGAGGGTACAGAAGAAGAGGCAAGCGCTCGAGGGGGGCCAGGAGCCGTGAAAGAAGAGGAAGATAGGATTGAAGACATTTTGGACAACTTCCTGAGGGCGAAAATTGCATGCACAGCGCGCCAGGGGAAGAGGGATGGCCATTCTGAGCTAGAGGTTGGGAGGAAGGGGCGCCCAGGGTCATCGGGTAGCTCCACGCTAGTTATGGAGGAAGATGAGATACATGAAGGAGCGGAGGAGGTATTGGAGACCGGAGCAGATGACATAGAGGACTTCATCGCCAAGCATGACTACCTCGGGGTAAGTGCGTTGCTGAGGGTGGGTGGACAAAGGAAATTTACATAGGGATGAGGAACATAACGAGTATTTATCTTGTTATTTGGGTCTCTCTGCTCCTGCCTTTCAGCCGAGCAGCTTGTAGATCTACGGCTTCCCGAGGCTTACTCTTTTTCTTGTCCTTGTGCCTATGGTCGTTTGTCATGACACATATCAAATCATGCATTAGGACCGAGATGGCCTAGTGCCGTGGGATTGTGAGACAATCCTGTCGACTTGCTCCAATTTGGACAATCACCCTAGCCTCATAAGCGAGCAGCGGGGCAGGCAAGGGAGGAAGATGCATGGCAAGCACTGTTCAGAGCTGCCACGTTTGCCGGAAGGTCGTGACGTAGGATTATGCCCCGAGAACGCGGCAGAAATGGTGGCTCTCTCGAAAAAAAGTGGGCTGCCTTTGGGAGTCTTGCCGCTGGCACCGAAGAAAGCAATTTCAAATGCAAATACAGGAAGCAAGAGAGACAAGGATGAAAAGGTGCTGGACAAACGAGCTCGTAAGGCCGCAGTGAAACTAGCGCGGCGGGAAGGTCGAGCGAGAAAAAAGGAAATGACGCAAGCCTTTAAGGCAGTCGAGAAAGTGGCGGGGCTCCAGTCCCGAAGCGGCGAGACGGCAGTAAATCGGAGTGTTTTTCAATTTTCGTGATTGCAAACTCTGTATCTAAGTGAAAGAGATTGACTATATGGTTCTTGTAGATGCACATATACTTTTTTCTATCCCGCGTTAGGCAAGCAAGAAGTATTCAAACTTTCATAAGTGTAGATGATATTCACAAAAAAATGTTAGAGTGCTTCAAAAGAATGGATTTCACTTGTAACTTACGAACTGCAACCGCAAATCTGACGAAGGCATATCGCATCTCATAGACAACATGAGCATCCGCCATGGTGCCTGCGATGACCCATGTCCATTCCCACTTTCCTCCTTACTCATTCTCTCGACTGCTAGATCGCATTTTTCCGCGCGCGTTCAAAGATCCGGTACTCATTCGCAGCCTCCTTCCCCTTGGAGCTTGATCTTACAACCTTTTCCTCCTGCTGATCGCTGGAAGTCCGGCGAAAGTAGTCCCCTGCAAAAAGGCTTCCATCTTTGCTGTTGTCCACGTCCTTTTTAAAACGCAACGCCGAGTCGGGTGGTACATAAACATCTTCAACGCGGTGGAACCATCCGGTCTCCTCACGGGCTTTGCTTAATCTGCGTTTCACACGCTGCCAGTCACTGGCCTCTTCCAAAGTCATTTCGACGGGGTCATGCCGAAGTAAATGAAGGATTTCTTCGTCATTGACGTGCGTCGCCATACGCCGCCTCTGCTTACCTTTGACCCGAGTAGATGGCTCTCTACCACCAGTGATAGTTTCGTCCTCTTTCTTCTGGGTCCAATCACCTTCATGCAGAGAGCCCCCAACAGCTAGGGGGACATGTGTCAAAAGGAAGAACAGGACAGCCGCTACGAGCGGAGAGAACTTGCCATGTATCTTTGCAGTCGAGACATACATTACCCTAGTGGATGAATTCTAGTGCGAGTTCTGGTGTGGAGTTTTGATTGTCAGATGTCAACAAGCGTCGTATGACATGACATATGAAAGCCATTAGACTTTTGGCAGCACATAATCATTTGCCGTCCTGCTTTTACTTGCTTACTTTTACTTTCTAGAGGAGAATGAGGTGTCCATGGTCATGCCCAAACAGAAGTCGTCTCTTCAGCTAGGGGGGGTAAGGTTTTCTTTGCTCGGATGTTGAGTAAAGAAGGAGACCGGGCGCAGAAAGACGAAAATAGGTCTGCACTGCTCTTGAGAGTCGACGCACCCGCTCAACGTGCAAGACTGACCTACGCGATCAAGCATTCGATGCCGTCAAGCAGACGCGTGACGTTATACAGAGACTCGTGCGCCCTTTTTTCCTCTCGCTGAGGCCGGTAGCCTGACTCGGCGACGCCGTGTCTACGTTCCAGCCGCCCGGCCACCCAAAAAAAAGCTTCCAATTTACGTAGCGCGGGGGGCATCGACGAGCCAATCTACATTGAGTGCAATTCACCCAAGGAACTTACAGTGAAGTATGGTAATTTTTCGTGTAGCCCAAATTATACGATGCAAAACGTTACAACTTTCTTGAGGGACACGGCTCATGTATCGCGTCTTGTTTTCAGGTTGTCGACGGGATAAGACCCTGACTGTGTTACTCATTTTCCCCACCGCTTCCGCCTGATACAATTAATGCAAAAATACATGAATAACGCGGCCGTTCTTGAGCCAAATCTCAAATTTTTGAGGACTCACAGGTCCTTATATAAATTAATGTTAACACTTTCTCCTACGCATGACACCATCTTATCCGGTGTTCATGTGTGACTTCACCCACCTGGCAAAACAGCATCGCAGTAAGGCATGCTTGCAGCTCTCAGCACTGTTCCAGCATTCATCGAGTTTCGGTGCCTGTCGCCCTTACGGAATTATTTTCTGCCTTCATGGTGCTTTCGCCGTCCGGGTGGGCGCATCAATAAATGTTCTGCTCCGACACACGAAAATTCATCTTGTCTCACGCCACACGCCACGAACATGAATGAACGCAAATTTTGTGATGCTCCTTCTCCTATACCTTCATTTCAAGATGAGTTTAAAGTCATTCTCGCGCAGCAGCTTCGGGCCGTCTCCAGTATTGACACGGATGTTGACCGCTATCTGATCCCTCGGAACTTTCGAAAGTTCATTCTTGAAAGTTTCGACATGCAGACACTTGGAAAAAAGGGTGAAGATACTCTGCTGCGCCGCATTATGCATGCACATCTTTCGGGGCCAACGGATGGGGATCCCGTGTATAGGCAACTGATGCAAGCACTCCATACTTCGCAGAATCCGTGGGTCGCAGCCTCCGAGAATGTTCTGTTTGAATCTGTCACGGCCAAAATTGTAACATCCAGCAAGAAGACCAGTCACTTAGCTGAAGGTTAGTTTAGATAGTGCCAAACTAGCGAATAGTCAGGGGTAGATTTGGTCGGCAGGATCTAGATGTTTACATTCATCTTGTCTCCTCCCTCTTGTTTTCTTTTTGACAGCAAAGCTTGGTCGTGCAAAGTTGGCTAAGGCCTTACACCAACTTAATGCTAGTATTGAAGAGCTTTTGCTACAGAGTGTGAACAGCACTATCGACATGGGCACGCTTCGTTCCAAGATCCTCGAACGCCAAGAACGCTCGAAGATGATGCAAGGCAGGCTCGATCGCTTTGACGTATTGATCCAAGTCCTGGCAGCAATCGAAGAGCACCTGGTGATCTGGAAACATGAATGTCTGGCAATAAACAGAGAAGTGCGAAGCACAGGCTGCGAAGTTTCGCGACACGATTCTTTTGGCGACACAAAGGGCATTGAGCAAGCAAGTGTGGAGAATTCTCGGGACTTGAGCCAAGCTTTGGGAAAGGCCGTAGAAAAGGAAGGAAGGAAAATTCTGGAAAATTGCTTGGTGAAGTGGATGCGGCAACAAGCTATGCTGCCCGCACAATCGAGACCTTTTTTAATTTTGACTGGGGTACGCCTCAAATCTCTGGATTCAGAGCCAATGCTGGCAATAAGGGGAGATGTCGTCCGAGAATGTGGTCGTGTCTACGATCTAACAGATAGGCCTAAGGCCGAGCTAGATGCACTCGTTGTCACGCCTACATCTACAGATTCCAATCGGCTCCAAGTCTTGGTGGCGGTAGAAATGAAGCGAAGCTTGCATGAGATACCAATAGACTGCATTAAGTATCACCTTTCGCTCGAAGTTTGTCGGAGAGCCACGCCTGAACTGCTTTCCTTCGCGTCCTCCGCCGTGTGCTCGCCTGCTTCAGTCAGAGATGACCTGCTAATAGCTGAGGCGCTACCACAGGTATCAACAGAAAACGGCTTCCTCTTAGACTTTTCTTCCTTTCGCCTCCCTGAAGACGCGTTTTACATTGTGAAACGGGGCGGAGTCGAAATGCATGCTGCCGACAAGCTTTTGCTTAAACGAGTGCACTTCAGACAGAACGAAAAAGGATTCAGTCTAGACGAAGAAGCATTACGGAATTTCTACGCCCCTGACTTTGCGTCGCTCAAAAATATCACACATGAGGAAAGAAGGTTGACGGAAATGAAGCGAGAGGCTGTGATCGACGCTCTCTTCGATGATTTTTCGAATTATGGCGTCGAGTCCCTGAGGCAGCAGCTAGGTGTTATACTTAAGGTGATAGAAAAGAGCCCTGCATCTAGAGGTCCTCTCCAAAACGTCTTCTCTCTCAAAGAGGGTGACGCCGGGTAGCGGTGCGTCTGGCCCGTAAAGTAATAATGAGGTACAGTTTATACAAAGATCACGCATCGAATATCACGCAGATAAAAGAAGACGACGTGAGAAAAATGAGAAAAAAATGGAGTCGTGAAGAGAGGAAGTACAACAAAGACTCGCAAAATGGGAAGAGAAAGCTATGCACTTTCTACTACTCACACGATGAGCCACTGCTGTCCTTAGAAGCTCCTGCATACTTTTTCAATGTCTGCCACACATCTAGCCATCAATCTGAGGCCTTTTATGGAACTTGTTCGTGCTTATCTCTCGTCGCAGTCTGTATTTCTCGCAAGTCCGCCGGACGGCAGCCGTCACCTTCATCACTGCACGTCGGGCAGCTCTGTCATTTTCCAACATTCCCTCTCTACTGACTCCGCTCCGATATGCCACATTTGTATTATTCCCCGTTCTCACCATTGCGCTGTCATGACTTCCTGAGGCCATGCGCCCAGCCTTCTCTTGTTTCGACGCTATTAACGCCACACGTGTATCCTCAGGGCGGTAATACTGTTTGTAGTACCTGTTGTTCTCCCGGCAACCTAAAGAGCGACCATCTGGCAACACGAGCTCGCCCAAATGCGAGACCCTCATAGCTGCATGGTCGAAGATTTGCTCCATCTCGCCTCCCTTCCCAACGTTTCCGCCATCGTCCATCGTTGTCATTCCTCCACCGTCACTCAGTTCCTCGTATGCGGAGTCCACCGTCTCCAGCGACATGTCATCATCATCTACAGCGCCCAGGTCGATACCAGAACTTTTTGGTCCAGTCTTGTCGGTCATCTTCTCCTCCTCTTGATACCGTCGTCGGGAATCGAGTACCTGGTACGAGGCACTGAAATCATAAAACGGTCGAAATTCATGCAAGTCTTCGCCCTCTTCATACAAAAGCTTACAATGACTTTTTGCTTCCATATGGTGTTGCGCATCCCGGGGACTCAGAAAGCTCTTGCCTTTGCCGTTGCAATACAAACACATGCACCCAATTTTCACTTTCTCTGCGCAGTAGCGGAGTAGGCCATGCAGATCCACTAAGAATTCACCGTCGGGGAGGTGAAATCCATGTTGTTTCCACATGTGCAAAATTGCAGACTCTACTGTAAAGTATCTGCGGTTGCAAAAAATACAAACTTCTGGATCCAGATCAGCCGGCCCAACAGTGTCGTCTTCCTCTGTAGTCCCGCTTCTGTCTTTTCTCTCGCTTCCACCTAGAGCAGCCATAACAACGCCACCCTCGCTCACAATTTCACTCTTACTGGTCGTTTGTGTGCTTCGTTCTGTGGCGTAGGCATGTTTACGGGACTTCAAGTGTTGCTGAAGCGTCGCCTTCGATGCGAATGTCCTGTTGCACACTTGACACTTCCCATGGAATCCGTGAGACGCTGATCCTTCTGATCCTGTTAAACTCTGTGCAGCGGCTTTCCGACGTTGATAATCATGCTCACTCACAGGGCCTAACTCATTCGTACGGCGTTTTGAGTTGTAGCGATGAAGCTCAGATCTGTAGTGATCTTTGTGAGCTGATGACGAGTTAAATCCAAGGCCACAGGTCTGACATTTCAAAAGTTCCATGCGATCTTGCACGAGGATGCCAGTTAAAGCTTTACGTCGGGCGTGATCCTGCTGTCTCCCCCAAATAAGGGAAGGAGAGATTGGAAATATTGCGAGGCAAGATAGAACAAGGTGAGACCACCGGCGCCGCGAACCCTTTGGACACTGACCTTGTGAACAACGTTCTTCTCGTTTTGAAAATCACGCGCCCTATAGCGAAAAACATGTCGAGGGCAAAAACTTCGTATCTAAAGAATTATGCAGTCACACACACATATAAACTTGCGAGACCCAAGACCCCGCCAAGCACCACCACCACCGAGTTGCAGGGGCAGACCCTGACAGCCACCGTTGCTACATGCGCTCGCACTTCAGAGCATTTTTTTTAAGATCCCCTCCACTTCCATAAATGGGAGTAGAACAAATATTCCCTTATTTAAAAAAAGGAATGGAGCGATCATGCTCTATCAATGGATGGAATTTTCGACTATTTCTACAATTTAAGGAGATGATTACGTCCCTCACTCCTTACTTCCTCGCCCGGCGCTGCCATGTAGGGTGAGACATACTAATCAGGCTTTAAGAGCGCTTTCAGTGAGATTATGAATAGAGTTGTTCTGCCAATCGACAAGATATTTCACTATCAAGCTTACTTTCCCTCTTCAGACCCCAACTCTTCGTCATATGGCACAAACCGAACGCCGGGAGGCATTGAGCAAGCCACAGGCACTTGAAGGCGAATGAAAGCAACGGTAAGGGACGGCTGAATCGTCCAGATAGAGCGTGTCAAGACATTGTTGGTTGATTTTTGGTGCAGAAAAATGCCTGCCATAGTTTATATCCTGACAACTTTCTTGCAACGCAATTGGTACGGAAAAAAGCTGGCGGTGGGAAGGGGAGGAGGTTGCAGCGGTTGCTGCCATTTTAGGGTCACGCACATGCGAGCTCATCATATCGTCTCAATCTGCACACGCCAGTGTATTACATGTGAATGGTAGAAGGGGATAGGATCGGAATCGACAAGTTTTCAAACATGTCTCTTTTGGCAATGTGGAAAGCAGTCGTGGCCAGCAGTGGGAGCGATACCGCTTTGCGAGTGGTGACGAATCTCCCTATCGACGACCTTTCTGAATATAGCCGAAATTATGTACGAGATTTGACATTTGAGTATCTGGATCGATACAGCAATAGTCTTTCAAAGCTTTTATTGAAAGCAGGCGTCCTTCCAGGGGACCGCATCGGACTTCACTTTCATGCCTCAGATCCAGGAGAAATAATTTCCTTGCTAGCCGTGCTAAAGTGTGCCGCGATATATGTTGCACTGGACAACGCTACCTGTGGGAGAATTGTCTCTGACGCAGGCGTGCGATTAGTATTGGTCGGTGGTCGGGAAAATGTAGGAAAATCAACTATTTTTCTACCAAATAAAACTCCCTTGTTGCGGATTGGGCGGTGGGGAGACATCTCTGAAGGCGATGAGCTCATCAGACAGCCTTTGCCTGATCCAGAACCTCCTCGCAGCAGCTTAGATGGCGCATTCAATATCCTATATACCTCCGGGAGTTCGGGCCCATCCAAAGGTGTCGTTGGAAGGGAAAAAGGTTTTGTCTATCGGATCGGCTGGATGCATCAGGCTTTTCCTTTTATCAAAGACAAGGAATTAGTGCTTCGACGGACACCACTCGCGTTTGTTGATTCGGTGTGGGAGATATGGGGGGCCCTCCTGGCAGGTGTACCGTAAGTATGGATTTTTCTAAAAGAACTCTCGATAATTTTGTGGCTGCTTCTGGCATTGATGATTCGTCGTCGGGCGGTCTGACTTTTAGGCAAACTCACGAGTCCTATTTTGCAAAAAATGGGAGGAATGGAGGCCTGTTACAGGACTGAGAGCATTCGACGTGTGTACAAACATCCTGAGCCACAGGAAGCATACTCAGCGTTATCCAAAAAATTGCTATGCCCTCATTTATTCTACCTCTCTTATAAAGTTCTTTCTTGTCTCCCCCACCAGATTATGTATCCATTTGACTAGTCTTGGAATGCCAGACCCTGCATTTTTCCAATGTCTCGGGGTTACAAGGGCGACATTGACACCTTCTCTGCTTGTGAATCTCCTTCACTGCAATGCGCCTATATTAAGCCGAGGACAGTTGCGCTTCTGTTTATGCAGCGGAGAGACTCTGTCGTTCATCACGGCGAGAACATTATTGATGCGTGCACCTTTATGTACGATTATTCATCTGTACGGTTCGACGGAAGTCTCTGGGGACGCGTCATGGACGACATTAACTACAGGTGATCTGGAATATGGAAAAACCGCGAACTTGGACATCGTTCCTCTTGGTAAACCTCTTCCCGGGACGCGCATGTGGCTGGTGGGGTCCGAAACATCAACGAAACTGGAGGTGGGGCAAATTGGCATGCCTGTTGACATGAATGGAGAGCTCTGGGTAGAAGGACCAGGCGTTGCGCTAGGTTACTACGGCAAGCAAGGCATTCATTCCAATTTTGTAGCTAAAGAACGCGATGGCCATCCAGTATTTAAAACGGGAGATTTGGTTAGGTGTATTTCGGATACGACTAATACAAGTCTTTATTTTCTCCATCGAAGGGATTCTTCAGCGAAAGTCCGAGGGGTTTGGATACACTTGGAGGAGGGGGAACGTGAGCTGGCTCTGGCGCTTGGCTTAAATTCTAAGGAAGAATTGGGACTTAGTGTCGTTTCGAGCAACACAGATACGGAGAATTCTGAGCTGTTAATAGCCCTAACATGGAAGGCAGCCCAATCGTGGCCGAATCTGCCCAAGTTAAGACAACGGTTAATTGGACGAGGAATCTCACCAGAGCTCATGCCGACACGAATAGTTATTGGTATGAAAGATCAGCTATTGCCCCTTACTTCAAATGGAAAGCTGGATCGACAGATGTTATCTACTTGGGGCTCTGAAGTAGCATCAAGATGCACATCTTACGCAGAGATGGTCAGATCAAGATTCAAAGATGATTCTAGTGGGTATTGGTTGGAATTTTGTTTCTCAAAGCTTGTTGGTACTCAAGACGAAAATCATATAGGGCTTGGTCTATTTCAGCGTGGAGGCCATTCACTTCTAGCAATGCAAGCATTATACCACATTGAGCGGCATTTTAAAGCAGCAAGCGCTGGCGTAATGATAGAAGATATGGCCCGACCAGTTGCTGAGATTTCGAAAAAGATAGGCAAAAATCGGGACACATTGCCGAGAAAGCGAGGCAGAAGCTTTACCGCCGAAACAATTTCAGATAGAAATCAACTTCCTACAATGTTGCAGGCTTGGACTTTTGAATTTGAAAAATGCGTGGATGCGCAACCATGTGTCGTATCATTAGATAACGGTGAGCGTTTGATAATTGTCGGTTCTCATGATCATTATATTGCTGCTTTAGAAGCGAACACAGGAAAGGTTAAGTGGCGCTCTTATACGAGCGGTCGTATCGAAGGAAAAGTAGCAGTACAAAATGATCTCATTTTCGTACCCTGCCTTGATTACCGACTCTATGCCTTCTCATTGGTAACGGGAGAGCTTGCATGGACTTTTATAACACAGGGAGAGTTAAAATGTACACCTCTCCCTCTCTGGCTTCCAAGTCCTACTCATGACGAATCCAAAGGAATCTCGCTCGTCCTCTTCGGAAGTTACGATGGTAGAATATACGTCGTTGAAGCATCATCGGGAGCATGCTTTGCGAAACCGTTTCCTCTCCAAGGTAGTCCTTATGCTTCCCCGATTGTAATTCCTGGTGAAAAGCGGAATTCAGACTCGGATGAGCGAATTATTACTGTAACAAACCGCGGACGTGTTGCACAACTGAAACTGGAAAGAGAAGGAATGGTGCTGAAAGGAGCACACTTAAGATGGGCTCTACATTCTGATTGGGAACAAGAAATCGGGTGCGCTGTATTCACGACGCCTGTTTATTCGACAACAACTGCATATTTGGTATTTGGTGGAACGGACGGCGCAGTTGTAGCTTTGGATCCATTCCACGGGGGATCTATAGTATGGCGAATCCTACTCGACCAAGTTCAATCATCGCCAATCTTTATTTCACCATGTCTTATGCCGCGCAACTCGGAAACGGAAATAGAGCTTGTCCTAATAGCCTGCCAAACATCTTTGTATTGTATCCAGACAAGCTCTGGAAAGCATTGCTGGAAGAGAAAATTAGAGACGAGGCCTGATGAAGTGATAACTGGACAACCCACATTCCTAGAGGGCAGCCTAATCGTCCTATTGACAACACAATTTGGCAAGTTGTTGCTTTTAAATCTCGACAGTGAGCTCGATGCAGTCGATACAGGGACAAGGGAGCTCATTCTTACGGGCGAAAGTCGTTTGACAAGTCCAGCAATTATCACCTTACCTAAGGAAACAGTATTTCCTTACAGGAAATCCTGGCAATGTTCAATAGGCTCTAGAGACAACAAAGTGTACATGATAAATATTTCTGGTTGATTGGATTTGTGTATTGAAAATGGATAGGACAGAGTCTTAACCAGATATGTCTCATCATGTGAGTGATTTTTGAAAGAAGTAAAAACCATGTGAAACAAAATGGTTCCTCTTTAATCTTGGTCCATGCCACGCTCATGATTACAGCGACATTTTTTTTTCTCCTTCAAATTCACGAGAAGCGCCTGGAAGCCAAGGGAAGAGAACAATAGTTGACGGAGACAGCGTAACGTAAAAATTATTTTTGAATAATGTGGCATTCAGTTGTCCCGAAAGTTAGGACAAATCAAAACGAAAATAGTGAATAGAGGACCTCTAGCAGGTAATCCTAAGCTTGGTATGGACATGCTTTGGTATGGACATGCTTTCGTGGATCTAGGCTAGATGGGAAAAGAGGCACCATAGGTATCTCGTTGAAAGTTCAATGATCGTGTTCTTATTTTAGGTGTGTATCTGTCAACACTTTGTCAACCTGAAGTCGATCGGTGACTGCCAGTCTCAGCGGGGCAGCCAGCAGCTCAAATCCGTTTGTCGCATCTTCTATGAATTCGGTAAAGCCTATGTACGTCAGAACTTTATCTTATCT